CGCCGCTTACTATCATTTATAATGTAAAATGCTTTTGTATTTAAATAGGGGGACATCTATCGAACAGCGGGGCAAGGTATTTGAATATTACTCAAAAGCCAATACGAATAACATTCTTAAGACTAAAAAATACGTTGTATGATTTTATTATTAAAATATAATAATTTTAAAAAGTATTAATTTTATTTCATAACGAAGGCATCAATTTTCATACACGAGATAGATCGACATAACTGTTTTCTTAAAAAAAATACAGGATGAAATGAAAGAGTGGTCATTCTGTTTATTAATTTAATAAGAAGTTTATTTTGATTGCAAACTAAATAGCTTTGCGTTTAACAACAAATTTTACACCTAATAGCTCAGCGGTAATCTCGAGAGCTTATAACACTAAAATTCGAGGCACGATCCCTGTGGTGAGCATAGTGCTGATAGCCCTTTGTTTACCTCTGAGCTTAACATAAAAGAAACATACTCTTTACACCTTAATGGTATACTACAGTGTTAAAATCCGGGGCTCAATTCCCTACAATAGACAGGGCACAGACAGTCCGTTCTATAACTTTGCGCTAAACAAAAAACACCTAATGGCACGTGATAAACTAGCTCGTGTATCACATTTCTCTAAAAGAATTTAGTAGCCTGTCGTTTAAAAGCTACATGAGTATTATTCCTTAGATTCAATGTCCTCTGAAGCTTTGACGTTTACAGCAATTCAATTAGAGCCATATACTATACTATCAGTATTATAAACCTTTGTTCCCAAGACTGCCATAACGTTATCATTAACTCAAATCTCATAAAATAACTCTTCATTTGTGCCAATTCAATCCTCATGTTTAGCAAAATTTAATATGCCCCAGACAGAAAACCATACAGTAAGCACACACCATTAGCAGGACAGGACAGGTAGATTCTATATTACTTAATGTAAAATTTGTATAATCGGCATTTTGAAAAATCAAATCAAATCTTTGCAGTAAAAACCTGAACGTAGAATTCTAAATCAATGCTTCTAATAATTGATAAATCAAATGACAACTGAACTAAAAATTCATCACCTTATACATAATAAAGAGCCGGTCATAGCCTAGTAGCTAGCGTGAATATGAGAGTTTAAGTTTCGTGTCCCCTTGCCATAAAGAAGCATTCCGCAATCTGTGGCTATGGATGCGCTATAGGAGTGACAGTTAAATCCCATTATTCGATTAGAGTCGCCCAATAGTTGACAGTGGATGCTATTGACTAGCAGCCTTCCCTCTAGTTTATCAGTTTCAAAATAATGGCTCTTGTTTAAAATCGGTTAATTAATTAACTAGACACCCTCAACGGTCATTCTAAGGGCTTAAAATTAGGGTTCGATATCCGTGGTTGGCAGAGCACTGATAACAGAGGCCTGCGATGATTTTATTGTCTTGAAATTTTTACACGTTCTACAGTACTTCCTGTACGTTGAATTCGAAAATGATATCCATTTTTCTCCATCACATACAGATTTTGCACAAAACGGCATAAAAGAAATACCACAACACGTAGTTTTTAGACTAAAAGACGTAGATTCACACAAAAAATTAGGATGAATGAGGACGCATATTCGTTTGCCATCAACGTTCTTCCCTTTTCTTCAATTTGTTTGTATTTTTGTTAACAAACATAATGATAAAAAAAATGTTCATTGTGGTAAACGAAATAATAATTTTATCTAAGTGAGAGTTTTTTTTCTTTCCGATTTGTACAAAAATCCTTACGTGATAGAAAAATAATAATGTTATTTTCGAACTCTGCGTAGGCGAATTATAGAAAATCAGTTATTAAAATCAAAACAACATTTATGAAGTTTAAGTTCACAGGCCTGTGTAATCCATTGTGTAATTTTTGTGCTTCAAAACAAACAAACATGCAAAAAAAATCAACCAAGAACTGGCGGTCGATATTATAGACTATATCTACTTTCTCTCTAGGCTATCAGTTCAAAATCAGAGTCATATATGCGCAGATAACCCTTTGTGTAGCTTTATGCGAACATTTTAAAACAATAATAAAATATAGCTAATGATGAACAGATCTATTTGATATCATATTTGACTGGCGAGTACTTTGTAATAAAAACATTACACTCAGCACGCCCTTATAATTAATTTTAATGCAATTAATACAGACATGGTCAAAACACATCCAAACGATAACTATGATCCAGTTCATCAAAAGCATTATGTTGGTATGACTTGAGCAAACTGTCTTGTTTATTTAAATCCTTTACAAAATCTAATACAAAGTTCAAAACCAAGTGTATTTATACCACATATTTCACTGTTGTGCAACCTTTGATAATCCTCCGCCAAAATCTTGTATTCGACATTTAGCAGAACTATTGGACGCTAAATAGTAGCTAATCTTTGATCCCCTACTAAAGCGATTACTCCATATTTTACATGATTTTATAAATAACCTATATGTGGAATAATATTAAACGAACCTCAGTAAAAGCTTCATAGAGTTTAAAGCGTAATTTACTTCTCCACCTGTTGTTTTCCTATCATCAAATTCTTCTTCATCCGTCAGATGAAGACCTAAAGTTGCTAAACCCTCACTAAGCTCTGCCCCCCCCCCAGTGGGACAGCGGTATGTCTACGGACATACAACGCAAGAAAACGGGTTTCGATACCCGTGGTGGGTAGATCACAGATAGCCTATTGTGTAGCTTTGTGCTTAACTTCAAACATAAACAAACAAACTAAGCTCTGTACTCTCCTAGCAATCCCTCTTTTGTACTGTACTTTCTCTTTGTTTAATTGGTCAAAGCTTCTTTCCTGTGTTTGTTCCCCAGTGGCACAACGGTATGTCTGCGGATTTATACTGCTAGAAACCGAATTTCGATTCCCGTGGTGGGCCCTTTTTTTGTAGCTTTGTGCTTAATAGCAACAACAACTTTCCTGTGTTTAGTTGGCTAAAGCTTGTTTCGTTTCCTGTACTTTCTCCTTACTTAGGTGGCGAGAAAGTTGATTTTCATTCATAAATAGTTAGGAATTTACTTTCATTAAAGCACAAAGATATTTTATTTGAAATGAAAATATTTTAATGGCTCAACGACAGGATACAATCGTTACTTAATGTTTGCGAATAGGGTCACAGGATAAATCTTACGTGTAAGAATCAGAGTATTTATTTATGGTTAATTCTAATTGATTACAATATTATTTTTCGAGGATATGTTGTTTTTGTATTCTTGTTCTTTAACCTCCTCGCAAGAAAACCGGATGTTCATGTAGTAAGCCAGAAATAATTAATACGGGTATTCCCATTGGTTAACATTCACCAAATCTAGTCAGTCTGCTCTTTTGTAAAATAATTAAAGGCCTCAAAGAATTCCCGAAATTCATTCTGTCTGAAACGATACTAAGATAAGCTTATCGTTCGAGAATCATAATGTACAAAATTAAAGCCAATGATTTCAATAAGATATTTGTGAACAAAGTTAAACCATGAATTTTGTGCATATTGCTTCGTTAAAATTTTATCTTGGACAGCAAAATATATAAGGACATAAAAAATGCCAAATATACATAACTAATCTGCAATGTTTGTATTTTATTGAAAAATAAAAAAAATATGTCGCTAATCAATTATAATCGATTATCGATTGGTTCTAATAAATCGATCATTGATCTTAATATTTCAACCAGTTCCCAGAAAAAGATCTACATGTATGTAGATATAGCCTTGTTAAATATAAGGGTTCACGTTAGATATGATGTTAAGTTTAAAATTTCTTGCTTTAATTACCTGACTCGGAATATCTAAGTCTACTTAATATGAACTGTAAACACTTCTTCGGACTAATAGTAAGCGGTCTTGCTACGCGTAGTTTTGTCATGATGATAAACTTGGTTGTTAACGCAATTAAGAAGTCTAAAAACGATGCTGAATGAAAGTCATGTTATTTTTGTTAAACTTTAAACTAGACTTGATTTATACACCAAATATCCACTTTTTTCACTCTTTCCAAAAATTCTCACCACGGGTCCTGGAAGCCAGTTTATTTTATGGGCGGGCAACGCCCTTGGAGGGATCACAATGAATAAAACATTTAAGTTGCAATCCTTTTTACGGATATATGGATTTGTCACTTAATTAAAATTAGGTAATTCATGAAAAGGTATGAACAATTTAATATCACCTTAACTGAGAGTATAGTCCCTCGGTTGGTCAGCGGTAAGTTTCTGGTCTTACAATGGTAAAACCCAGGGTTCGATTCCCCGCGATGGACAGAGTGCATGTAGAACATTGTGTAGCTTTGCAGTAATACACCATCAACGAAGAGAGAGCATAAAGATGGCAGTGATCTCTTAAACAAATCGTGTATCATTTTATGGCTAATCAACATTTAATTATATCTTTGAAGACAATTCCCTCGGTTGTATAGTTGCTGAAAAATCCTGGGGTACTTTTTTATAAATAAAATAAATAAATCTGATATACTTCACCTTGTGTTCATGTCCCAATTAAACTAAAATCTTTAAAAGTTTCAATAAAATCGTATCCGTGCTGAAAATAAATATCCATTCTCTGTCTTCAAAATAAAGTTGTTAGTGTTATTGGAAAGACCACACGTACCTCATTAGAATGATTCTGATTTTCAACGGTATCATTAGTTGCTGATAGGTCATTGATTCATATAATATTCTCTTCAGTGCATAAATGATGCAATGACATTTCACCTATTTACGCCAACTGGAAGCATAGGCTTAAAGAACAATCAGTCACCAGATATTTTTCTAAATCAGGTAGCCATTTTTATTAAACTTGAAGATATGTACGTTTCCACTGGTTCACGAATACACGAGTAAGTGTAGGGGCTAAACCCAGGCCGTTGACATAGTAACGTTGATATATGTGAAATAAACACTGGAAAACCAAAGAAAACGATTGACGTCACCACAAGAAAGACTATTTAACATTATTACTGTCGACTCTGGCTTAGTTTCACTTCTGCTTTCATCATGGCCAAAATTCATTTGGTAAAAAAAATCTTAAAGTCACTTCTATTAATCCTTGGTGTCATAACGTTTGTGTCTCAGGTATGGTTGGAAGTCGAAGCGTATCTCGAGTTTACTTCCTCAGTAAGCATACAACACTCCAGAGAAGATATCAAGTTTCCAGCTATGACAGCATGCAGCTCAGAACGGTTAGTACTGCCTTGTAGTGTGGAGCTTTTCTAGCGTTTTCAACTCTGAAATGATTCTGACAAGAATAAAAATTGTCTAGGATCTGAAAAACTAAGATGTATTCTAAAAATATTTGAATACAAAAAAACTGTATGATTTACACATGCAGTTCAAAAAGTAAAAACAGCGATATTGTTTTAAATACTCAGACATAGTATATAAATTTTGAAGACCGGTTTGTATGAGTAATGAAAGAAACTTTATTACAAATGTACAACGTTTCGATAAGCTTATGTCATTATCAGGTGCCTATTGATGGCATAAACATGTCGAAACGTTGTACATTTCCAATAACGTTTCTTTCATTACTCATACAAGCCGGTCTCCAAAATTTATTTTCTAAAAAGTGGGTTCCTCATCATCAAATTCAGATATAGTGTGATATATTCTTTGTCTTCTAAAATATGATTTTTTTGTTCAACAGTATGAATAGTTATGTTCTATAGCATCCAAAGTATTTCTTCAGCAAGTAATAGGGTTTCCCAACTTTTACGATCCTGAAAGTATATCCGAATTAGGGTTATCTATATTCTTATTATTGTTCATCAATATATCAGAAACATCTAACTATAGCATAAAACGGTCCCCTCTTCATGTCTCTACAAAGCGGGTATTTATACGTTATAGAAATAAAACCACCTGGAGTACATAAATACAGAGAGCAAATTGTACGAGTTTCAGTCATTGATGTAATGAAAAAGGCGAAAGATTCATCAAATTTTGAACGAGGTGTTATTACTGGGATTCTTTTGGTGCTGATTGACGAATCAAAGACTGTTGAAAATGGTCGGAAGAGGATTAGGACACAAATATCGAGGGTTCTTCGGAACCAACAGACATTCAACTGTGTGTGAATTGACGGACAAATTTAATAATGGGCACAGGATTAATAAGTAGGAAGCTGAGTGAAATTCTAATTTAAAAATGAGTCTAGGATTAATACGAAGGAAGCTGTGCAAAATTCTCTTTTGGTAAGTGTGCACCCTTAAGTAAGACACTTATCTCTATCACCAATAGGAAGGAACATCTCTAGCGGTTCCAAGCTTAAGTATGCAACGTGGTCAGAGGAGTCACATTCTACATCGTATTCCAATGATGAAAGGGTTAGACTTTGGCGACAACCCAATAATGTCATGGACACACGTATTCAGCATAGCGTCCACTTTACAAGGTTCTGGGGAAAATGTAACATTTACATATCATTATCTAGTTCAGCTGATGGCCATGTCTCTGCTGTTGAACATTTGACCACTACAGTTGATCGAGTGAACCATTGACCTTGCTCTACCTTGACCAAAAAGGTGATTTATTTCCAGGACGATAATACTAGCGAGTCCTGCTAGAGAGTCAAGTGGAAAGGAAAAGATACAGGAGAAGACCAAGAACAGAGTGGATAACAAATATTAAAGAGTGGACTGAGATAGTAAAATATGAAGACCTGGTGAGAACAGCACAGAACAGACAGAAGTGGGGGATTGTGACAGCCAAACTTCCTGAGGAAGACGGCACGTGATGATGATGATGAATACTAACAAACATAGTGCTAAAATAATTCGTGATTGTTTCACTGAACATGAAACAGACTCCCAACATCTATCCTGTATTGAAACAACTATCTTCCAGACATTACTGGAATCATTGCCACGTTCTATCGAGATTGTAATCAAAGCTATCGACAGCCCAACACGTTACTTGATTAGCTAAAATAGTACTAGTACCACAAGTTCCTCACTGAACCATAACCAGAATACAGTTTCTCTACTTATGATTTTTGCCGTCTGTAAAGTTCTTAGCTCTGAAATACCTTTTTTGTTTGAATGTTTACTAAGATACAGTTTCTGAAATGAATGCTTCCCAAATAGTCTGCTAACTTGTTCTTCAACGCCTTATTATTTTCACTGAATAATCACAAAAATGTGGCTTATTCACTTATCATCTAGCTAAACAATCACTTACAATATATCTTCAGTACCAAGAGTGTCAACACATCGTTTGTACAGATATTGTGTTTTATTGCTTTTTACGAAAGCTTGTTTGTTTTTTAACCTCAAGGTGTATTACAAATATTATTCTGAAAAGATGGCGTACTTAGTTATAGCTGGCGCGTGGTCACTTGGTTCATATGGCCTATTTTAATAAACTTGTCAGTAATTTGGGGTAATGCATATTCATAACTTGATTAAAATGAAAGTAGTTTATTGTATGTGTCATTAAATGTTTCTGTACAAACTTGTGAAAAATAGTAAGTCATTATTTATGAACTATTCACATGTTAATTAGTTTTCTCAAAAGGTAAATTATTTATGCTAAGTGATGTTAGTATATCATTGTATAATCTGCACTGGTTCCAAGACTGCATAACATAAACCTGTTAATGTGATCCGTCGTGCAACATAACATTAAAACTGCAAACTTTTAAATAGATGCTCTTCAGATATAAGAACATATATAATGGCTGAAGTTTTAAATGTCACGCTATTATTGCGAGAGAGTAACAACTGTTTCATACAATTAAATTCCCATATAGATAGACCGAACTCAACTAATAAGTAAAACTTGAAGCTAGGAGTCTGTTTAGAAACTACAACTTACAATGTAGCGTACTGGATAATAAATGCAAATATTATAAGGTTGGACTAGAGTTACGTAAATAAATGAAATGTAATTATGATATAACTCTTAGAAAATGTGCAACATACACAACCAGTAACAGTAGTTTATTACATACTTTAAAGATACATTATCATGTATTATTTAAAACATGAACATCTGACAAGTAATTATATCCTCGTTTTCATTGAAATTTAATAGTGGGCGTATATTTAGCACTAAAGTAGCTAAAAAAATCAACATTTTCAAAAACTTAAAAAGAATCACCTACACGTCTTTTATAACACAAATTATGATTAACGTTTGATCATAGCAAGTTGCCTACAGAGATCAGAACCAAACATTAATTCAGTATTTAATCTAGATAATTCAATAGACTGTCACAACCAGGCACATGCAAAGTCATAAACTTCAAATTTATAGAGATTAGAATGCATTCATTCACCAGTTTGCTGTTAACGGTATGTTCGGCCATAATCCCAATAATACCTCAAGAAGTTTGGCCACCTTAGGATATTTATGTTAGTCTTGCATCCAAATGCTAAACAAGGTAATAGTGGAAACATTAATAAACACTTCAAAATCAAGGGTTGGGCTAGAATCTAACAGCATAACTGTTCATTAGTTCGACCAATAACCGTGAAATGAAACGTATCTATATAAATATAATAGTACTGTATGTTGTATGTCCATATAACTACTTTGCAGGGTTGGAGGGATCTCCACTAAAATTGGTATGGAGGTTCATTGGGTCCATGGAGAGATACATACAAATTTTCAGTTTTGTATTTTGCGTGTTGTGGTTTTTATGGGCGTCTTTGCGTTTTTTACCACTACTTTGCCCAATGTTGATGGATCTTCCCCAAATTTATCATGAAGGTTTGTTGGGTCTATCGGAGATACATGCAAATCTGCGGTTTCACATTTTGTGTTTCGCAATTTTTTGGCGTTTTTCACAAATACATATAAGGGAAGCAAC